ACGTCAAATTGAAAAAGTGGATTGTATTCGTACTATAGACGGGCAAATGAAATATGACAAAGACCCAAATAATGAAATAAAGCTATCATCATGACAAAAACACGAATCACCAAATAAAAAATAATATATATATATATATATATATATATATATATATATAAAAAGTCATTGTAGTGCATTTATAACGAAAAATTTCGAAGAGACTAATGCTGAAAAATAGGAAGATTGAACCACATACCTCTTCTCCCCATCTGAGACGGCAATGACTTTTTGAGTCCTTGGAGAAAATGATACATATGGACTCCGTCTTCCTCATTGAAAAAGTAACTCATAACTCGTCTCTCGCGCACCCACGATAACTTGTTGCTTCTTCTTCTTCTTCTTCTTCTTTCATTCCTTGACACAGCCATGCTTGATCACCGGCGAGAACCAGCCAGGAACCATGTCTCTTCATTCCCTGCAGTCAACAAAAGTCAGGCCAGTGCAGGAGATCCAGAATTTGACTTCTGGGCTGCACGTGAAACCCGGTGTTATGGAAGTTCAATCAGGGACTCCAACGGCGGTGATACAGGGTTTCAAGTCCATACACATGGTGGAGAAGGCTTTGGCAGTTACTCCCCGTCCTTGTGGAAAACAAGTAAGTCAAGAAATACAATGCAGGAATCCTCTCCCTTGCTTCCTAGCAACCATCAATACAGTAATCTTTCAACTTCTATGCGAATGAAGGCAATTGAAGAAGGTAGGAAGGAACTCATGGAGATGATTCACAACATGCCCGAGTCTACTTATGAACTCTCCTTGAAAGATATTGTTGACGAGGAGCATATAGCAGAGGAAGTTGAAGACGAACTTATCCTTGAGGATAGAAATTCCCTTTCAGAAACAGAAGTTCAGATCAGTAAGCAGAAGAAGAATAAGAAGAAGAGCATCAAATCAGGAAAAATTTCAAGGAGTTCAAGCATGGATAATGAAGCTTTCTTACTCAAGATTTTTTTTCCAAGCACTCGTGGTTCAAAAAGGCAAGTACATACCAGAAAGTGTTCAAAGATTTCTCCAAAGCCATCTGGTGTTGGATCAGAGAACCGCATATACAAGGGATGGTCAATAAAAAGAATTCTGGTTACAAGAGAGGGAAAAAATAGTGAAGAAAATAGCAGCAGCGGAAGCTCTAGTAGCAGCCAAAGCAGCACAGATATAGTCAGGTATTTCCATGACATCCTCTCAAGCTTCAACATTTAAGCAATTTTCTACAACTAGACAGTTTTCTACAACTAAATAGGACCAGGAAGTCTTTTACCACCCAAAAAAAGAATACCAAGAAGTCTATAGAATTTCTGGAACTACATTATAACATCTAAGTAGACTGATGGAAACAATTAAAACTGAAAATTGAGAGAGGCCAAAAAATGATCATAAAAAACTGCTTAATAATCAGAGAAGTTATAACTGGCTTGTGGCACTAATAAAACTTTTGCATCTTTATATTATGCAGACATGGAGATGGTGATTCCTTAACTGGTTGCTTGCCGTTCTTCTTCTCCAAGATAGGCAAAAACAAGAACCAGAGAGCGCATCTTTTGAATGAGGATGCAATATAGACTTGAATCAATGTTGTCAACCAAAGACAACAAAAGATGCAACGAGGAAGCATTTGGCTAAATAGAAGAAGAATTAAATAACCTGAACAGATTTCTCAGTCCTGTGGCTATGCTCTTGAGAAATCAGTGAAGTGCTACTTGGTGGAACTTAATTGTTGAGAGCCAAAAAGATGCTCTTGAGAAATCAGTGAAGTGCTACTTGGTGGCACTTGAGAGTTGAGAGCCAAAAAGATTGATATTGTTTCCTATTCTTGTACCTTCATATCTTAACAAAGGTTGTTTATATATTTCTTAGTTGAGAAACCCTTTATTGTTGATTGAAAACTACCCAGTATAGCAGATGGTTAAGGACAGAATTGACTTTGCCCAATCAAGTCAGTCGGTGGATACAATTGCATTTTGTGTTTAGTTAATCCTTCCGTAGTTTCTCAGCAGGTACCTGGTTAGGCAGTATAAAAAGGAAAGCATCAGTTAAAGGGAAAGAAAATCTTATAAATATGTGCGTGTCCATACACACATAAACTCTTGTGTGCAAACTACAACTAGAACACAACTAACCAAATTGTCTCCATAACTTCCAAATTCTTGATTGCAGAACGCAAGAAAAATGAAAACAAGGCAATTTGTGTGTCAACCACAGCTTTAAGCCGCCAATAATAGATGTCTTGGATGTCTTGGCTTACTTGAGATGGGGATGCGAAATGGATTCAAGTATTTCACACGAGATAAATAAGGAGAAACTTTAATCTGATCCGTATCATTTCCACCACTAGGTTCTGCAGACACCACGCTTAGGGGTTTATCTAGACGAATCACCACCACTAAATGCAACATTTACGCAATACTGTACCATCAAAGAGGCCAAAGTAAGTGCTACTCATGTTCAAATGCTGCAACGACCTCTCCACCTCCCTAATCTTACCTTTACTCTTTAGCACTACAAGAAAAAAAATTGTGAGACCTTTGGAAGGGCTGGAAACTAAAAAAGTTGTCTACATTAAAAAGAAAAATACATTTGTGTCAATATTTAAATTAAGATAAATTAATGGTTTATCGAGAGGTCAAATGTGCAAGGTAATATATCCAAGATCCTAAAGCTTTTTATTATCTGACTAAAAGAACAGGGACTTGCATCAGTTGTCAGGAAAATGTTCAAATACTTTACACCATCTTGCTTTCTTTACATGCCCTTCTGTAGATAAAAATGAAAATTCATATTGTAAAAACTGAGAGCTGATGTCAAAACTTCTTTCACCAAACTGTCAAGTTAACTAAGGTTTCTAGTTATCTTCTTCATCTCCAGAATCCTGTAGAACGACACCTCTTGTTCTTGTCCTGAACAAACAAAGAAACTGGTTTCAGGTCTTTAAAGAGAAAGTAGTTGAATGTTGTGAACTATAGAACAAAACCCAAATACCGGCGATGTGCAGGTACGATACGATTAGCAACTCTTGTTGAACCCATTTCTTTAGCAGCATGCTTGTCTGCAGTTCAGCCAATGAAGAAAAAATAGATCAGCATCTCCTTGCAAATGACAAAATAATTATTATCAAAGTAAAAAAATTTCAACCATTAGCAGCAAAAAGACTCAAAATAAGGAGATAGAAAAGAAGCAATAGTGACGCATAGAAAACAAGAAGTTTGTCCAAGTCTACATAGTTTAGTCTCATGAAATGGCAGATTTTATCACTCATCCTGACCAAAATAATAAGCACTTGATGTTCAAGCGAATGCAATGCGCACCTGGAGAATTTTGGGCATTGCTCACTGGAGAAGCAGATGCATCCAATTTGTCCAAGGAATTGATCTTTTGCAATTTTTTCTTTCTCATATGAAGCTCCAACTGCAGCTCCAACTGACTCTGTACACCTTCATACTTTTCCTGTCATACAATAAACATGTAGCTTAGAAAGGAAGAAAAAGTACCCATCTCCAGCAGAGCAAAAAATTAATCTGGAATGCTATTATAAG